GTGAGCATCTCTGGCTAGGCCAGCACTTATTGCCCATTTCTAATTTCCAGTTCCTTCAGTTCGATATCATGTCATGAATCGAATTTGCTGAAGTTGGCATCTCAGAGGCTGGGAACCTCTGGAGGCGGAGGCCAAGATGGACTTGGCACGTATGGCTGAAGGTTGTTGCATATGTTTCAGCTTTACCTTCTGCCCTAATGAGCTGGGCTCTCCCATCACTTAGCATGGGGTATTTGTGGAGCTGCCATGGAATTGTTTAATTGTCTACCACCATTCAACACTGAACTGGCAAGACTATGGAACAAAGATTGGATTTATTGGATGTGGAATTGCTTAACCCTTGGGGTTTCCAGGCACAGGTATTGCTCAGTGTAATTGTGATTTCCTAATCACTTGTCTCAGAGTCTTCCACTTGGGATTCCACAGGATCCCCATGTGCAACTCTTATCTACAGTGCAGAAATGACTGTATGGCCACAGGAAAGTCTGAGCCATCATTCCCTCCCAGATACAGGAAAAACATTGTTGGCCAGTAGTGTACTTGGTATTCAGTGACCAGATATGATGATACATTTCTGGTGAAATTCTTGATTTTCTCTGAGAGGTTTGTATATCATGACAGCTATTGCTTGCACTTTCTGGTCACACACAGTAATTAATAAGCTCAAGGAAAATTAGAAACTATTGGAGAGACTTGCCACATCTGGACAACATCTGAGGAGAGAGAAACATAGTTAACGTTTTGAATTTGAAGTGACTTCTTGAAATTCATGACGGATATAGTCATAGCATTGTACAGCACAGAAACAGACCCTTTGGCCCAACTTGCCCATGCTGACCCTATATCCTAAATTAATCTAGTCCCATTTGCCAGCATTTGGCCCATATCCTTCTAAACCTTGCCTATTCATGTACCCATCCAGATGCCTTTTTAAATGTAATTGTACCAACCTCCATCACTTCCTCTGACGCACACTACTCGCTGCATGAAAAAGTTGCCCCTTAGGTTGCTTCCCTTCTCACCTTAAACTTATGCCCTCTAATTTTGGACTCCCCTCCCCTGGGAAAAAGACCTTGGCTATTCACCCTATCCATGCCAGTAATGATTTTATAAATCTCTATAAGGTCACCCCTCAGCCTCCAATGCTCCAGGGAAAATAGCCCTAGCCCATTCAGCCTCTCCATATAGCTCAAACTCTCCATCCCCGGCAAAGCCCTTGTAAATATTTTCTGAACTTTTTCAAGTCTAACAGCATCTTTCATATAGCAGGGAGGCCAGAACTGAAAGCAGTGTTCCAAAAGTAACCTAACCAATGTCCTGTACAGCTGCAACATGACATCCCAACTCCTATACTCAATGCACTGACCAGTAAAGGCAAGTCTACCGAACACCTTCACTACCCTGTCTGCCTGCAACTCCACTTTCAAGGAACTATGAACCTGTACCCCAAGGTCTCTTTGTTTGGCAACACTCCCCAAGGCCCCATCATTAAGTGTATACATCCTGCCCTGATTTGCCTTATCAAAATGCAACACCTCACATTTATCTAAATTAAACTCTATCTGGCATTCCTCAGCCCATCTGATCAAGGTCCTGTTCATGTCTCCAATTTTAGTGACATCTGCAAACTTACTTACCATTCCTCCTATATTCACATATAAATAACAAAAAGCAGTGGCTCCAGCATTGATCCCTGCGGCACACCGCTGGTCGCAGGTCTCTAGTCCGAAAAACAACCCTCCACCATCACCCTCTGTCTCTTAGCTTCCAGCCAATTTTATGTCCAAATGGCTAGCTCTCCGTAGATTCCAGGTGATCTAACCTTGCTAACCAGTCTACCATGCGGAACCTTGTCGAACGCCTTGCTGAAGTCCGTATAGACAACGTCCTCCACTCTGCCTTCATTAGTCTTCTTTGTCACTTCAGAAAAACTCAATCAAGTCAGTGAGATATAATTTTCCACACACAAAGCCAATGACCATCCCTAATCAGTCTGAAGAAGGGTCACTCAACCTAACATGTTAACTCTGATTTCTCTCAACGGATGCTGCCCACCCTGCTGAACTTTTCCAGCTATTTCTATTTTCATTCCTAATCGGTCTTTTCTTTTCCAAATTCATATAAATCCTGTCCCTCAGAATCCCCACCACTGACTTCAGGCTTATTGATCTATAGTTCCCTGGCTTTTCCTTACGACTTTTCTTAAATAATGGCATCCTCCAGTCTTGTAGCACTTCACCTGTGGCTGTCGATGGCACACGCATCTCAGCAAGGGACCCAGCAATCACTTACCTAGTTTCCCACAAAGTTCTGGGATACACCTGATCAGGTCATGGGGATTTATCCATCTTTGTGTTTTCGGACGTCTAGCACCACCTCCTCTTTAATATGGGCACTTTTCAAGATTTCACTGTTTGTTTCTCTACGTTCTGTAGCTTCCATATCCTTCTCCACAGTAAACATTGACAACGAAATATTCATTTTGTATCTCACCCATCTCCTGCAGCTCTACGCACAGATGACCTTGTTGATCTTTTAAGGGACCTTATTCTCTCTCTAGTTACTCTTTTGTCCTTAATTTATTTGTAAAATTTCTTTGGATTCTCCTTAACCCTATTTGACATCTGAAACTTTATTCCAGATCTCAAGCATTTGCATTACTTTGCTTTTAAATGAGTAAAATGCCTTTTCAAAACTTCCACTAGCTTTTTTTAAATAATTCCAATCTTTGATTCTATGACACTGAATTGAATAAAAAGGATCTGTGTAATCAGTGGCATTTGCAATTTGGATAGGGTAGGTTTTAAAACTACAATTAACTTAAAAAATACATTTTTCTCTACGCTTCCATAGTGAGCATCACCTGGGTGGAGCATAGCAAGGACGACACGGCAACAGTGGGATCAAATGACCTAAAAGAAAAAAAAAAAATCAGCTTTTCGTTTCACTGAATTCAGTGGAGGTAAAACCAGGGTTTTGCATTTAGTGCTCAAAATATAAAACAGTTGTGGACAAATTTGGCCCCATACCCCGCAAAATGACCAGGAAAGAGCAATTCACATGGATCACCAATCAGATGGAAACATCTTTGGGGACTTGCTTTTTCAGTCACAGATTTTATCTCCTACTGCTCCAATCACAGGCTGTTTCTCAGTTGTGTTTGCCACTAATATGATGACGGGTGGGAACACAGGATCAAACCAATAAGTGACTGTAGAAGCTCTGAGAGTAGGTGGCTGCAATGAGCATATCATTGGACTTGTTCTCAACTAAGTTAGTGTTGGAAGCAGGTGGTGATTGGGAGGGGGCTGGAGTAATTAGAGCTGGGGGTTCAGTCTCGGGTTTGCTGTTGGCCAAGTCTGGAGCCGTGTGGTTAAGGCCATCAGCTGGGTCTGTTTGGATGTGGTATTGGTTGGATTCTGGGTCATAGATTTACCATCAGCCATGCCTGGGACTGTTGTCAACTGCATAAGATGAATGAAGATGGCTGTGGGAGAAGAACGATGATGGCTGTGGGGAATATGAAAGAGGCTAAGGTAGTGAAGATGGAGGCTGCAAGGAAGGTGGGGAGAATGATTGCAGGTGGAATACGCAAGGATGATAGAAGAAGCTGTAACTGCAAGGTGAGGAGGGGGAAGAAGGAACCCCTGCAAGGAATGGGAGCAGAAAGAAGATTGTAAGGAGTTCGTCTTCATACAGGGTGGCAGAAGGAGGATGCAACTGCCAGAATGGCAAGAGGTTTCAAGTGCTCAGTGGGTAGAGAAGGATGCTATAAGGTGCGAGAGTAAGAGGCTGCAACTAGAGGTGGAGGGGGAAGCAGGAGGAGTAAGATATCATGGAAAGGACACATCTTCAAACCTGTCACCTGGGAGCCAAGAAAACCGGAAATCACTGAGGTCATGCATTCCTTGAAAACTAATGTAGAATCTCGAGCTCAAATCAAGATGCATTTAGGAGCTACTATGTGGGGGTAGGATATATATTGAATGCTATTGGAATGAACACTTGCTCAATTGTTAAATTTAAAAATATGATCAAGACCTAAAATGCAGTAAAAAGAGTAGTAACTACTTGGTTAAAATATTCCTCCGACTTGTATATGTGTGATGGGAATGCATCAGCTGTGACCTCCCCAGTCTGGGGAAGACCGTCCCTGGGTGTGAGTCCGTCTGCAAGTTGATTTGTATGCAAGTAGGTATACAAAGCAGGACATAGTAGTTGCTGGGAAGTACAGGGAAACAATTGAATGTTTGATCTTTAAGATTACACCCCTGTTTAGGACCACATTCATAAGAATGTTTGTAAGGTGACCATTCGTAAATCAGGGACTCCCTGTAGTTGAAACTCACATCAAAGCTTCAGCATGTTCCACACCATTACCCCCTCCTTAAGACACTTGTTTCTTTGTCTCAGCTATTTATTACTTACGTACATCACTTTCCCTTCACTGATTGTCATAACATTCACAGGGCCAATAGGAAAAGGAGGGTACCACTTACAGGTTAGGAAATTGGAAAAGTTGGTGAAAAGTAGGGTCACAGACACTCACACACAAGTCCAAACATAGTAGACCAGAGGAGTTAAGGGAAAGTTGCAATAGATTAAGAAAAGAGAGAAGGAATGGGTCTAATAGATTGCTTAAGAATCTTGGGAAAGAGTAGAAACAGGCTGGAGAGCATGACTGGGAAGATCTCTAGAGCATCAGTAACTGTCTCAGTGGGGTGGTCGGAGCTATTAGAGAGTTCTTATTATATGAAACTTCTGAAATAAAAAATGAAGCACTCCTGAAGATGCAGATCAAATCAATCAGTGTTATTCCTCCTTGTTTGATAAACTTGTTGAAGTAAATATTTGGTTTTGTGCATACATCACCACAGTGTAAGCTAAAAATTTGTGAAATTTAAGCAATAGTGATAAGCAAGCTCTGATTTCAGTTTTTGTAGCCTTTCTCCCCCTCTTCAGTTGAGTCTTTCTATATTTGCTATCTTAAATTTCTGCAGTCAAGAAGACTATTTCACAGGCCGGCCATATGGAGCACTGGATTCTGGCTTCAACAGTGTTGACAGTGGCGATAAAAGGTGGTCTGGCAATGAGGTACATGATTTAGTATCTTTTTAAAATAATTCATTCAGTGTTTCAAAGTTCTGTTTCCATATCTATTACAACTGCCAGTAGCTTACAAATTATTTTCATGCTTTAAATCTAGACACCAATCATTGTAAAAATTACCATTCACCCTAGACCAGAAGCAGTACAGCACGGTCATCAGCATGTAACCCACAATCCTTGAAGAAATATAAGACCAAAGAGAAATTATTGACTTATTGACAATAGTTGACATATTGCTTCCCAAAGAGAGACGGGTTAATTCTCCTTCGTATTTTCAGTGCTACAGAGCTCTGGAAAGGCATGATTGCAAGGAAGGCATAGGGAAGGCAAATGCCAGTAGTGTCGTCCTCCTGATGAAATGTCCAGAGCATGGCCTGGTATTAGCAAATACCTTTTTTTTTTATCAGAGAGACAAATACAAGACCCCTAGCAACACCCTGCCTCAAGACATTGGCACTTGCTTGACTACATCATCATCTGTGTGAGATCCAGCAAGGATATTCACTTCTGCTGCATTATAGGAGCTGATGACTGCTGACAAACCACCACTTAATCCAGTCTACCATCACCATCAAGCTAAACTTCAACGTCGATAGACTTGATGATTCAGCAAAGAAATACCTACTCAATCATTGCCTCACAGCCAACTTGGCATTGCTCAATGTGAGAAAGTATGGAATGTCTACAGCTGGTCTGCTCTTAATTCCGTCATAAACAGCATTTATACGGAGACTCATGATTTCCCCACCAGCAAACATTAAGACTGATTTGACCAGAATGTCCTAAATATCCAGGGGATTCTAAATTGCAAGTGCAAGGAACTCCTGAATAGGAAATGCTTCTAAAGCTCAAAAGAAAAGCAGGTGTACAGACAAATGAAGGCTGAGGTCCAACAAAAGTCCCACGACCTAAATGGTAGATGATGGATGGAAAGTGTGGAGGAATTCCAGCAACTCACCAACAATAATATGTCAATTCTTCAGTGCAATCAAGACATTAACAGCCAATGACCTACCTCATTGAGGACTAAGAACAGAGTAGTGCTCATCAATGACAGAAAAGCAGCGTGTGTTTGTTGGAAGGAACACTTCGAGGATCTCTTGAACCAAGACTCTGAGCTCAGCGTGAGTGTCCTCAACCACATCCTGCAGCATGTTACCGTTCATCCAAACACAAACTTCGCTTAACACCACCTCTGTAATAATCCTCAACACTGGTCCCCTGCAAGGCTGTGTACTCAGCCCCCTACTGTACTCTTTAGACACACACGACTGTGTGGCCAAATTCTGTACCAACTCCATTTACAAGTTTGCTGACGACACCACCGTTGCAGGTTGGATCCCAAATAACAACGAGATGGAGTACAGGAAAGATATAGAGTGCCTAACAGCATGGTGTAAAGACAATAATCTCTTTGTTAACGTCAGCAAAATGAAGGAGCTGGTCTGTGACTTAAGGAAGCAGAGTGAAGGGCATGCCCCTATCTGTATCAATGGTGCTGAGGTGAAGATGGTCGAGAGCATCAAGTTCCTGGGAGTGACAATCACCGACAATCTGTCCTGGTCCACCCATGTTGACACTATGGTCAAGAAAGTATAGCAATGCCTCTACTTCCTCAGGAGGCGAAGGAAATTTGGCGATTCCATAAAGACTCTTACAAATTTTTATAAATGCATCATAGAAAGCCTCCTATCTGGATGCATCACAGCTTAGTATGGCAACTGCTCTTCCCAAGACTGAAAGAAACTACAGAGCATTGTTAAGCACAGCCCAGTCCATCACCGCCTCCCATCCATTGAATTCATCTACATTTAACGCTGCATCGGGAAAGCAACCAACATAATCAAAGACCCCTCCCACCTCGGTTATACTCTCTTCTGCCCTGTTCCATCGGACAGAAGATATCAAAGTTTTTATAATCTTCCCTGCTGTTATCCGACTTTTCAGTGGACCTCTTTAATGTTAATGTTGATTTCTCTTTGCACTTTTCTGGCAGCTGTAACATTGGATCCTCCACCCTGTTCTGTTACCCTCATGCACCTCTATAATACAATCTGCCTGTAAAGTACGTAAGACAACACTATCACTGTTCCTTGATATATGCGAAATAGTAAATTGAATTGAATCAAGTCAAGTCTGACAGCTGAGAACCAGCAAGGCTGTCACGGCACGTAGAATCTCTGCTGAAACTCTTGTATACGTACATGACCTATTTGGAAGAATGAGAGCATGCCATTACATCTCTGAAATAACATAATTGTGACCATTTTCAGTGAGACTGATTCGGATACCTACAGTGTGCTTCCCTTGCTATCCGCTAAAGTGAAGATCATTGCTGCCACTGGGCGGAGGAAATTGAGGAGAGGTTTTGAAGATTTCCTGCTAGAGTCACAAAGCAGGTTCCATCAAAAGGCACAGTGAACACTGACTTTGAGACCAGTTCGAGAAAAGTGCAGAGTGCACCTACTTATATATGATATCCTTGGACCTCACAAGGGCCTTTGACTGTGACATCTTGTGGGATTATGGAGCATTTACCTCAAATTTGACTGATCATAGCAATTCAATGTCAGGCTTCACCTGCTGCATGACAACATGTATGGCATGATCAGGACCAACAGATCTACTACAGACCCAAATTATATGCATATGTGCCTCAACCTCGACTGGGTCATTGCACAAACACACTATGCCATCTTGCTCACCATAACACTTCACATATCCAGGCTGTTTGATGCTACAGTGGAGATTCTCGACAGGATGAACAGAAAAATTCCCAACTAGAGATGAAGCATCCATGAAGATGTAACCATCTCGAAGAGGCCCAGCTGGAGGCCAAAACAGAAGGAATGCAAGAAAATCACCCACGCGCCTCTTCAAACTCTATCAGTGGCAGGTTATAGGGCCCAGCAGTGTACTGTTTAGTCACCTCAGGATACAACTCCAAATTTGAAGGAAGTCATCCTCAGTCATGAGGAGCTGCCTAAGAAGAAGAAATTACTTTGCCATGTATGATAGACCCAAGGTAATACTTAGGAAGATAGGCACACACTAACAGAACTGTTTTCGTTAAAATATTGCTTGCTTTGTAGGTTGTTACTTCACAGCATCCCTTGTGTAAAATCCACTGCTGTGGTATTGATTATGTCGTATGTACAAAATAAAGTGTTGCCTTTCAAATTACAGCCCACAGATGAGTTTTCTGATCTCCCACAACGAATGAGTGAAATTGCGAAAGAGCAACGGCAGCGGCGAGATAGTCAGTATCATGAGCATCGAGGTGTACCACTCGTGACAAATGGCCCGGGTAAATAAGCTCTGAGACAGAAACGACCTTAGTAATTGAGTATGTGTGGTTATGCTAGAATCACACAGCCAATGAAAATAAATAAACATTCTCCAATTGTTAGCATTTCATTCATTTAAAACTTGGCATATGTGCTACATCTAAGCCGAAGAGTGTGAGTGGAGCAAAGTGGCACATTACTTTTAAGTTGTTGTCGGTGTGACTTGAAATAGTTTAAATCTGTGGACAAGCTTTGGTCTCATATATGATTTTCAGATCTTTTCATCCTAAAGTTTTCCACAGTTTCTTCTAGAAGCAGAAATTTATCGTTAAACCAATTCTTTATTTTGAATAATCCATGTGTATGCAGACACCTCAGAATATGTAAAATATTGTTATTTGTTCCAACTGTCAATTTAGTTTCTGCTTTGGTCTCTGATTATTGTACCAGCACTTTGATCAAGTTAAACTAAGCATCCAGATACTACTTCAATTAATAGAATATCTTATTTTCAGATTGTTTGGTACAGTCTCGGCATATATGTGACTTACGAGTCAGAGTCGGAGCAATGTTGTAGAATGATGAAATTAAGTCCCAAACCCAGGAGTCTCCATTTGTGATGTCTTGCTACCAACAGGACAAGCAGATTAGATTTCCACTGAAATAGAAGTTGATAGACCTTACATCTTTCATTTGCACTCTCTGCTCCTTCATGCCCTGGTCTTTGATGGGATATCAACCAGACTAGATAAAGGAGAAGCAGTAGATGTAATGAATTTGGATTTTCAGAAGGCATTTGAGAAGGTATCACCATTAGGTTACTTAATAAAATAATAGTCCGTAGTGTTGGAGATAGCATGGATAGAGGATTCATTAACTATCAGAAGATAGAATTGCGATAAGGGGAACAGTTTCATCATGCCAACCTGTACCTGATAGAGTGCCACATGGAACAGAGCTGAGGCCACAATTATTTTTGAAATATACTAATGACTTGGTTGAGGAAACTGAATGTATTAAGCCAAATTTGTGGACAGAATATAATGTGGGAAAATGTGAGGTTATTGCCTTGGGCAGGAAGAATGAGAAACTGAGTATTATTTAAATGGAGTAAAACTGCTGAAAGCTGCAGAACAGAGTAATTTGGGGGACCTCATGCATGAATCACAAACAGCTAGCATCCAGGTTCAGCGAGCAAATGGAATGTTGGCCTTTATTCTAAAGGGAATAGAGTATAAGAGTAGGGGGGTTTTGCTATGTCTCCACCTAACCCCAAACTGTATTAATCAGCAACAATTTTACTGTAATTCTGTCCTTAAATCCAGGTTTTGCAAGGCAGTATATCCCACAAAGTCATCTGCAGCATTGAATTCCGATCAACTACCCTGTCACGTTTATGCCAGTTCTTTGCTGAGACAGCATAGAACTAATTCTATTGCCTTGTCTTTCCTAACAGACTTTTGACTCTGTTTCAAATATTTGCCTATATTTTATTAGATTTGGTGTCTATATTAATAATTCCCAACAACAAAACATGCTGTACACCTTCTGTCAAACAAGTTCTCCTAAACTCTCTCTTCACTCATTAAGTGGTAATGTTATATTGATGACTCCAGCCTACTTCTGAATTTCAAACCAGAGATGTTGGTATTTTCATACCCACTAGATCAAAACTTAGAAAAAGCTATAAAGTCCCCTGTAAGTTTTTTACATGCTGGAGGTAGTCAGTACACGACAAGTCTTTCCTCATACCTAGAATTTCTGATAACTACAGTTCCCACTGACTTATGGCAGAGTGTTGTAATATATATTGTCAAGTATATTTGCTGTGCACTGAAACAAATTACAATATTTATCTCTCAGTTGTTCTTATAGCACTGTCTACTACATCAATGGGCTTGCAAAATCTGTGCAATTGGCACATTCTTGAAGTGTTGGTTTTCAAGTTCTAACTGAGAGGTAGAATTTGGGAATCCCAGCTCAGGCAGCAGTGCTGGGTCCAGGCAAGGAGTGGTATCCAGTGATAAGTAAGAAATACCTTGAAGTGAGAATATATATATCAGCACCACAAAGCTTTAGCTCTGACTTGAGGCAAACCAGCCAATTCAGTGATGGGTAAAAGTTACAACCAAATAAAGTGAACCGTTAGAGTCACTATCACCAGCAACTGTGCAGTTGTAGTTCATGTTAATAGTTTTCTCTTTATGGATGATGTGAGTGACTCGCCATTTAAATATGGATGTGATGAGGAATGTATCGTATCCCATCTCTGAGATTGTCTCGGTGAATTTATACCTCATGCTTATGAAGGCATTCTGAAGTTTATTCTGTTTTGTGTGCCCAAAACTGCACATGGTGCTTTAACATAGATTAATTGATGTGTGTTGAAATGCACGGTTTCGTCATTGCTCTTGTAGCCTTTGGCACCATTTAGAAAACCCTTAAATGCTGCATGTAGTTTCAGTAATTTTCTGTGAGAGAATTCTGGAAAGGCAAGGTCTAAAGTTGCAGTCACAATGGCTGTTTTATGAGGTAAATAAGTTTCAACCAGCGACTGAGTGCAATTATTTTTGTCTTCTTTCCAGTTGAACACGACCTAGAGCAGATTGATTACATTGACAGCTGTGCCATGGAGGAAGAGGAAGAGGATATGCGATTGCCAAAACGACTTGACTCCTCCAGTCTCAGCTCACAATTCATAGCATACATTGAACGACGACGGATTAACTATGATGTAACTTTTTAGTTCTTGCCTAAAACCAGTCAGAATATTTGCATGTAAAGAATTTTTAAATTCATTCACTGGATGTGGGTGTCTTTGCCAAGATAGTATTTATTGCCAATCCTTACTAGCTGTCAAGCAGTTGCTGGTGAGCTATCATCTTGAAGTGGTGCAATTCATGTGGAGAAGCTACTCCCAGTCTTTGTAGGCAGGGAGCTCCAGGATGTTGGCCCTGTGACAATGAAAAGACAGAAATATATATCCTCAAACCAGGATGGCATGTATCTTTGAGCAGTATTGGGGGAGGTAGTAGTGTTCCCGTACCCCTGCTGGCCTCCTGCTGCTTGGCCATGGAGATCGTGTGTTTGGAAAGTGCTGTTGAAGAAACATTGATGAACTGCTGCAGTACATCTTATACGTGATAGCTATCTAGTCAGTGTGGTGAGAATTAATATTTACTCTGGTCAAAGGGTCACTAGCCCATCAGGATGCTTTGTCCTAGATGGTCTCAACTACTTGAATGTTTATGAAGATACTTTCATCCAGACAAATGTGAATGTTCTGTCCCATGGCTAATTTCTGACCTGTAGATAATGGAAAGATGTTATGAAACCCAATATTGTAATCACAGTATATATGTGGCTAGTGCAGTTAAGTTTCTGGTTAATCTTAACTCTCGTTACGTTGATGTTGGAAGATTCTTTGATGCTGATAATGCTGTATATTAAGCAAGTTACTCTTGCTTTTGCTTATTGGAAATCAACATTCCCTGGCACTTGTAAGTACGAACATGACTTGCTACATATTAGACCAAGATTTTCTGAAGAAGGGTCTAGGCCTGAAGCGTCAGCCTTCCTGTTCCTTCGATGCTGCTTGGCCTGCTGTGTTCATTCGGCTCTACACCTTGTTATGTCACATATTAGATCAAAGCTGAATGTTGTCGAGATTTTGCTGAACATTGGGCAAACTCACTATCTGAGGAATTGCAAACAGAGCTAAACCCAACAGTCAGCAACGAGCACCCACACTTTGGTCTTACGGTGAAGGGAAAGTCATTGATGAAGCTGCTAATGATGATTGAACCTAGAACACTACCCTGAAAAACCTCTGAAGTGATACCATGAACTTGAGCTAGGTATAATTTTAGCCAGTGGAGAATTTTTTCCCTCATTTCCTTTTAACTTCAATTTTACTTTGACTCCGTGATGCCACGCTTGGTGAAACCCTGCCTTGATCTTAAGAACAGTTTCTGTCAACTCTGGAACTTTTTTCTCTTGCCCTTGCTTGAACTAAGGCCGTAAACAGATTATTGCCGAATAAGTGCCTTTTGAAACCCTAGAAAATTGACCATAAAATGATAGAAATTAACATGCAGTTTGGAAGTGAAAAACGTGGGTCGGAAACAACTGTTTTTAATTTAAATAAAGGGAATTACTGTATATACTCAAGTACAAGTCGATCTCCTGTTTAAAAAAAAAAAATCAACCCCTATTTTTGGCCAAAAAATCTGGAATTTTCCATTTATTGAGTCCTAACTGAGAGGTAGCTTTGGTCCCTTTTAACTAGAACAACTATACCTAACTCCTTTTCAAAGGTAGTTGAATTAAAAGTCGACCTTAGTTCTTCACAGATAACAGATCAACATTTGTGAGTCAAGGTATTATCCTATACATAAATGTTACGATATTACGACTAGGAAATGAATTTTTCTTTCAGGCTATTATATGTTTTTGATGTACAATTCAACCAATTTGGCATGAAATTTAAGATGCATCAGGTCAGAGTCGGGCGACAACCTCCCTTTGTGTGCAACTCACTTGAGCTCAGTTCCCCTGTAGCACTCATGGAATACAGTCATATACCTAGTTGAGGTTTTGAAATTTCTTCTTCATTTTGTGTAAAAATGCCCTCCAGAAAACACACAAAATATTCGGCAGTGTTTAAACTGAAAGTTTATTGAAGTTGCAGAGAAGACAAATAACTGTGTCGCAGCAAGAGAATTTTGTGTTTTTGTTGTTTTTCTTTATTTGTTTAGAGATCAATTGGGCTTCTGTAATGATACAGTAGTTTAGACTGTAGCATGAATTTTAGTCCCTCAAAAGTAGTATCCATGTAACCTTAAAAAAAAGTCTAAAAAAATTTGACTTTTACACGAATATATACAGTACAATGGAACAAGGATAGAGTTGGCTAAAGTGAACTGAGCGAATAGGTTTGCAGGAGAAATAGTAAGCAAGCAGTGGCAGATATTTAAGGGGGTCATTCGTGACTCTCAGCAAAAATACATCTCAGTAAAGGGGCAAGATTCTAAGAGATGGATAAACTAACCATAGCTAAACAAGGAAATTGTGGAGAGAATTAAGTTGAAAGAAAGAGCATTTAGGAGGCCAAAGTCAGTGATAGCCCCGTAGACTGGGATAAATCCAGAATCCAGCAAAGGAAGACTGAAAAAGAGAAAATAAGCTACGTGGGCAAACTAGCGAGGAGTATTAAAAACTGTCAATAAGGGCTTCTTTAAATTTATCAAAAGGAAGAGAGAGATCAAAGTGAACACAGACTCCTTTGAAAATGAATCTGGGGAGATAGTTATTGGGAAACAAGGAAATAGCAGAGGAGTTGAACAGATAATTTCCATCAGTCTTTATTATGGAAGGTGATTCGCGTATCCTATTAATACTAAAGAATACAGATAAGGAATTCAGTATCATCACTAGAGAAGCAGTATTAGACAAACTAATGGGGCTAAAGACAGGTAAGTCCCCTGTCTCTAATGGCTGGCATCCTAGGATCATAAAAATAAGTAAGTGCAGTGATAGTGAATGCATTGGTTGTAATTTCCAAAAATCCTTACATTCTGGCATAGTACCAGATGATTTGAAAACTGCTAATGTGACACCTCTATTCAAAAAGGGAAGGAAGCAAAAATAGTGACCTAGAGGCTGATTAACCTAACGTGTCTTGTTGGAAAACTATTGAAATCAATTCTTAAGGAAGTATTAGCAGAATATTTGGAAAATCATAATTTAATCAAGCAAAGTTAGCATGGCTTCATGAAAGGGAAATCATGTCTGGCTAATTTTATTAAAATTTTTTCGAGTAAGTCTCAAGCAGAGTGGATAGAGGAGAACCAGCAGATGTGTTGGATTTCCAAAAAACATTTGACAAGATACCTCACAGAAGTTATAAGAGCCCATCGTGTTTGAGGTAGTATATTGGCATGGCTAGAGAATTGGCTCATGGGAGTGGAGATAAGGGGTTCTTTATCAGGTTGGTGACCTGTGACCAGTGCAATTGTTTACTATATATATACCCTTGGAGGAAGGAAACAAATGTACGGTAACCAAGTTTGCAGGCAACACAAAAATAGATAAAAAGCCTGGTTGTGAGAGGGATGCCAGCAGTTGATTGAGATATTCTTCGTTTAAATATGCGGACAGAAAGTTGGCAAATGCAGTTTAATGTGCGCAAATGTGAATTTAATTTTAGAAGGGAGAATGAAAGAACAGAATATTATTTAAACAGAGAAAAACTGCAGAAAGCTTGCAAAAAAATTTTTAAGATGGCTTTGGCAGAGCAGACAGCATATGGGCTCCTTGCCAGGGCTTGGCCTCTTCGTTTGCATGTTTTTTCTTCTTCCTCCTTCCACTTTTTTCTCAAACTTCTCTGCTAAAGAGAGTTCTTCAACAGGAGGTGGACTTCGGAGTGGCAGCGGCATCTTCAGAGGCAGCGTGGCCACAGAGACAGTCAATCAGCCTGTGAAACCTGAAGTGGGACTTTCGCTTCAGCGTGGAGTGGGCCCTTGCTGACAGCGTGTAGTGGACTGGGCAGCCTGGAGCAGGACACTCTTGATGGCATGGCATGGGCTGGGAAGCCTGGAGCGGGACTGTCTTGGTGGCATGGTGTATGCTGGAAGCCCACAGTGAGAGTCCAGTGGCAGCATGCTGAAGGAAAAGTTGGACTCTCTTTAAGTTACCTTATTTTTAATTTTATTCTAAGTTAATGTGAATGGCGCCCATGTACGGCGACGGTACACACTTTTCACTGTATTTGATATTGAATATACATGATAATAAAGGATATTCTAATATTCTAACAGAAAGGGACTTTGGGTACTTGTGCACAAAACATAGAAAGCTAGCAGACAGGTGCAGCAGGTAATTAGGAAGGTTAATTGAATGTTAGATCTTATTCCAAGGGAGTTGGTGTATAAGAGTAGGGAAATTGCCTTGATAGGGTAAATGCTGAGATGATGTTACCCCTCATGGGAGAGTCTAGGACCAGAACGTAGAGTCTCAGGATAAAGGGGCACTAATTTAAAACTGATATGGGGAAGAATTTGTTCTTTCAGAGGGTTAAGTGTTTTTTGGATCCCCTTGCCACAAAGAGCTGTGGGGGCATCGTCCTTGTTATATTTAAGGCTAAGATAGATTTTTGATCAGTTAGACGACAAGGGTTCTGGGGAAAAGTCAGGAAAGTGAATGTGAGGAATGTCGGATCAACCATTACCCTACTGAATGGTGGAGCAGGCTTGAGGGGCTAAACAGACTATTCCTGTTCCTATTTTTATGGTCTTATTAATTTATGTCATTCAAAAACATAGAGACCAGGCTCTTAGGATACAGTGGTAATGTCCCTGTTGCTGGACTACAAGAGCTGGGTTCAAGTCCTGTCTCTTTCAAAGGTATGTCATAACATGTCTGAACACGTTGATTAGAAAATATAGAAACATAGAAAATAGGAGCAGAAGTAGGCTGTTTGGATCTTTGAGCCTGCTGCACCATTCAGTATGATCGATATCCAACTCAGTGCCATGTTCCTGCTTTCTCCGCGTAGCTTTGATCCCTTTTAACTAGAACAACTATACCTAACTCCTTTTCAAAGGTAGTTGAATTGAATCAAACTGAAACCTGGCTTCTATCTCAGCAGGAGGTTGAGATGAATCATCCATCTGTGTTGCATTTGCACATTCTCACCATGTCTATGGGTTTCTGCCAGGTGCTCCGGTTCTCTCC